TTTCAATAAATATTTAAGATTTTGTTAGAAACTTATAGAACACAGCCAGTGTCTTTGGACAGCAAAACTGTCTGTATTTCAGAAAAATATTTTCGGTTCACCCAATAATAGAAAAATGTGTTTTACAATTCACAAAACCACCAACATTGTTGCTATTTTTCAACCAACATGATACGTTAAATTGCATTTTAATATTGAACAATCAGAAAGCAATATCAGGAATTTTCAATACCAGTCTTTTTACGATATTTTGTGTATATCTTTGTGTATATGAAGATATACACAAAGTACCGTTCCTCTATTTTTTCTCACAACTTTTCTATTTCAGTATTAACTGTAGACAATCAACAGGCCACATCATTTTCATCATTTATAGATTATGCGCGCTTCATGAACCGAGTTGGCATCATTAGAAGATGAACTATACTGACGTCGAGAATAATGTTGCAGTTCGGGTTACTTTGAGTCAGCAGCACCTTTGTAACGGCAAATGTATACTATTGGGTTCAAACGTTAACACATTTATTGAGATATTTTGATTCTTGATAAAGGCAATCTCGCAGCAAATGATACCCTTGAATTTTTCTTGATTGAATTAAAATAACTGAGCTGTTTGAAATATCACATTAAAATCTGTTCTGTTTAAAATCTGTTTTTTCTGTTAATCACCTGTCGCCCCCATATGAACGACAACTCTCAGAAGTTGAGACACTTGTGTGAGCTAAGGACTAACGAGGTCTTACCTTTTTATTCCGGATTGAATAAGATTATGGAAAACATGAAATAAAGCAAAAAGTTCCTTTTTCGTTTTTTGATATTATTGAGAATGAAGTCGTTAAGTAAAAAACAACATATAACATTTTCAGTTTTTTGCAAATATATCAGAAACGGTTGGTGATTTTGTCGATCTGAGAATGCCATTATCTTGTGTTCCTTAAAAGACAACTTTCGAATGAACCGTTCTTGTACGACCTACCGATTCTGAGATAGCAATTGTGGTGTCAGCTAAAAAATGGTCTATATTTATATAGTACGTAGCATATGTGTGATTGATGACTTGTTCTTTATGGTACCTAATTCATGATGCCTTAAATGGAATGAATAAAAACACCTTTGTTTAAATACCACTGGTAGATTTTATTTATATTGATAGAGTGCGGCGAATACTCTGCAGTATATACAGGCCAAATCGGTAGGAATTTTGATATAAGACTGCGTGAACACGTCTGTTTGGACAAAAATTTGCAATGTACATCTTCAAGAATGAAACCACAAGATAAATGAAGATAACCTCAAAATCCTACACATTTGTAATAAAGTAAAGTGAACTAATCTATTGAAGCGGTTAAAAATGTTTAAGCTTATCCACCACAAACAGTCAAACACATCTTTCATTTCATAATATTCTTTTAGATTTACTTACTCAAAAAATCAGAATAATGTGTAATATGTGATCAATCGAACAATCCGTCAGAAATTGCATCGAATACTTTCTAAGAAAAGCGGAAAGTAGCGGAAAGCTCGTCTAATGGATAAATAATTATCTGTTTTTGGAAAAAACCGCAGATTATTCACAAATTATCAAAGTGATTAAGTGATTAAACAAATACTGTTACTGCTTGTTTTCCCAGAACAAATTTATGAGTTTATGACGAATTCCACCTTTTTATTATTGTGAACCGATTCTTGAACATTTGACTTCAAGTGTTTCCTGAAAAATAGTTGAATCCAATTCTATTATTCGAAAACTATGAAATATTTATGAAAAAGTAACAAATTGTAAGGATATATAAGTTGGAAGGCTAATAATATGTTATGTTATATATGTTCAAAATATGGTTCTTTCGTTAACCAGCCGTCGCACCCCTACGAACGACAACCCTCAGAAGTCTGAACTTGTGCGAGCTAAGGACTAACAAGATCTTACTTTCTTACGTGTGATTCCTGACACGAAACTAATCATGATTCAATCATATTCTCACATTCATGTTAATTTTTTATGTTCTTTGATAAGAAATTATGAAGTGCGGTTGAAAAAAGCCTTCCTTCCTCTTTACAACTTTTAATCAAGTTGAGATATCAGTATTTTGTCGGGCAAAATTCAGGAAACAAGACATTATTTTTAGTTGCATCATTTGCCACCAAGAGAGTGCTAACAACTTTTCTTCAAATGGGATGGGAAATTTATCCAATATTATTTCACTTTTGTTAATCGGGTAAACTGTTCCTGAGTAATTAGCAGTTTCATATTAGTTTTTAGAAATTGGAAACAAAAGATAGGTAGAGATGGAACACTGAAAAACTAGTTGATCTGAAATAAAAAGTAACTATAACACCAACATCAGCAATACATTTGAGGTTTCGTCGAATGAGTCACGACCAATGGAATTTTCTTTCGAAAAAATAAAAAATAGAAAGTCCAACGTCCAGAGCGTAAATCGATGGGTCTAATATATTGCAATAGCTGGGACTGTCGCGGTTAGTCAACTTCATCCACAAGTCAATAAAAATATTCTCAGACAGTCAAGCGGCTCCTACCCAGCAACGTCTAAATTAGTAGCAAATTGCCAAAACCGACTTTCCTTGATAGGAATACTCAACAGATTGTCTCTGGTCTGGATTCCTGGCCATACTGGCCTGGAAGGCAACGAGGCTGTTGACTCCCTTGCAAAGAAGGGTGCTGCAAGCAGCTTCATCGGACCAGAACCTGTCATTGGCATCGCTTTAGACTTTGCCAAACAAACATTGAACACCTGGATAGTAAGAAGATGTATGGACTTGTGGCAGAATCTTCAAGGATAGACTCACTCCAAGGCGTTTATTCACCCTTTGAAGCTTGATACCAAACAGTTGTTGGACTACAGTAGGGAACTACGATGTCTAACAGGCCTTCTCACAGATAACTGTCATTTGAATCAATGCAGAGACTTGGACTGTCAGGAGACAGTGTGGGTCGCCTCTATTTAGAGAATGATGAAACAGCAGAGAACATTTTATGTGTCTGCGCGAATCAAGTTTTTAGAGTTCGGCAGAGCCATACTCTTACCATCTGACCTGAAAGACCACTCATCATACAAACTAATCGGCTTCGATAAGAAGCTGGTTTAATTGGTCGAGTGTGAACATATGCGAGCCACAATAAACCCTATCGGGTTGCGGTGGAGTGTCGAATAGACCCACTCACTTCGGACCTAACCTAACCTAACCAGAATAACTCAGAAGAATGAGGAGTTTTCAAGAAGCTAGATGAAATAGAGCTTTCTCATGAGTGCCACCACCAATTTGTCAGAGAACTTAAACCTCAAGTATTTATAAGTCTGAGAACTTCAATTTTCGATTAACGATATTTGAGACAATATACCAATTTGCGAAAACAAAACCTTGAATCATCTATAACAGCAATATTCGAAAAGAAGGAAAAATCGTTTGAATTATACTGAAAGAAACTATTCAATAATATATTGCAATCCCTGTTACCCCACTCCTCTGTATCAGACTTCAAATTTGAAACGATTTTGAAAAACAAATTAGTTCCAAATGTAAACTCATATCTAAATATGTTTTGTGAAATAATTTCGCCTCTTACCTGAAAGTATTACCCTCTTGTATGGGACATTGAGTGACAAATGGTACACCATCGTAATACTGAGTGCCTTTCTGCCACACTCCGTGCCAGTGAATTGTAACTTCCTGTCCGGGCATATGATTTTCAACATCGATCACCACTTTGTCTCCTTCACATACTTGAATACTAGGTCCTGGTACCATACGGTTAGTTGCAAGAATGCCTCGTTCCACTCCATCAGCTAGAACACATTGGCAACTTGACCATACTGTGTTTGTTGCATTCGGTGTACACACTTGACAGGCACTGAAACAAAATACAAATTTTTCAATCAACCGGATAGATGGATAAGGAAGTTTTCAACATAATTTGTATAAGTTGAAATAAATTGCTAGATGATTTTAGGTGCCTCGAATCAAGTATGGATGTGGGCACAATATTTTGAAACAACAAGATGACTAAGTAATATGTTTCATCAAATAGCAGAGATTCTTGAAATGTTGCGAATTCTTTAGATTTGTTGTTCACAATGAAGGCTTTGAAAGGCTTCAACATCTTGAGTGATTATCAACCTATCGTATGTCACCCATATTTGGAATACCGCAATCGAGGAACATGGAGAGTCAAGAACTGTTGCGCTTGATATTTTTAAGGCCTTTGACCCTACTTGGCATGACGGTTTGCTGGTTGAACTTCGATGCTATGACTTGTAGGATCATTTTTGTGTATGGCTCTCCAGATTCTTGGAAGAACGTTTCCTGCAAGTGACCGTCGATGGATGTCTCTCCAATACTTTTACCATCAACGCTGGTGTTCCCCAGAGATCCATATTGTGTCCAACTATCTTTTTATTTTATATCAACGCTTTATTGGAAGACACTAAGAATTCAATATATTGCTTTGCTGACAACAGCATACTTGTCTCGTGATTTCATTTGGACTCCTGGATATCAGCTGCGGATGCACATCTTCACTGGCAGTAGGAGGTTGGGATATGCAATGGAGATCTAGAGGTGATTTCTAATTGGGGTGAAAATAAACAGGTTCAATTCAATGCCACGATAATCCAGCCATCGGTTTTCTCCAAAACGATGAATGACTTCGAACCAGAGATATTTATCTGTCTGTCAGGATAGACAATTCCACTTTCTGCTTCCATAAGCTTGTTGTGGGTTAAAATGGACGCCAATATGTCTTGACACAATGAGGTCGCTGAAATTGACTAGGCTGCTTCTCAAAAGCTTGGAACACTGTTCTGAACCAGAAAACTATACACACCTCAGCAACTTTTGATGCTTTATAAAACTCAGATCAGACTTTTTATGGAGCATTGTTCTCATGCCCCTAAGCATACCCTGAAGCTACTGGATTCCATTCAGAAAAGAGCCATCCGCCTGATTGAAGACGCGAACATCACTTGCAACCTTGATAGTCTGGAACATCGAAAAAATATTGGAGATTTGTCTTTTTTTTTTAGATACTTTCACGGAAAGTGTTCAGCGACTTGATTCCACCAAGCACGGTACATATCAGAAATACGTGACGGACTGTAGCTGCTCATCGTTTGGAGGTTCAACTCGGTACAACTCGAAGTCACTGTGACCTTCTGCCTGTTCATTTCCCCCATACAGTGTTCAATGGCCGCTGTTGCATTATGTTGCAGTTGCATTATGTCCGAGGCTGAGTGCAATTCTCGTCTTCGCTCTGCCGCCATATGTACCGGCTCCCTCTTCTTCTTGGGTCTTTGAGCCATCTGTATACCAAGTTTCTTCCGCTTTTACTGGTGGGCCGTTTTGCCAGACCTTTCTATTTGGTATGATGATTTTGAAATCTTTTTGAAAGTTGTACTGCGGAACTGTGTTATCCACGGGCATTCCTAGTATTGGATCTGCCAATGAAGTAACAATAAATTGTGTCGAAACAAACTTTCTGTTCAAGGTGAGAAGCGTCATCATGGAAAATAGGTGACCGTGGGAGACAGAAAGTCAATAAAGTTAAAAAAATGTTACCGATTCTATGTGCAATGCAGAAAATTCGAACCAGTTCCGAAGAAATTCAAAAAAATCCGAAATTCACCATTTTCGTTTCAGTATGTTTATTAACGTTTTTCAGGGATATATCGAAAAACAAAATAATTTCTCTTCGTCACTTTTTGAGCTGTACAAAAAGTTTTATGCAACATAGAGAGTATATCTCCCACTTGAGCAAGACCGTCTCATGAAGAAGCGAATCTGAAAGTGTGTAAGCTGAATATGTTCGTTGAATCGTTTTAGGAAAACGAGAGAATAACACAGTGCTAACGATTCATTGGTTACCTCATCCTTCGCTGTTACCAATATATTTTCAATATTTTCGTGATATCTTGACGCACTAACGAAATGAAGCACGTAGATAGTCACCTATTCAGTATAGCGGAGCAGTGTGACAGGTAAAACTGGTCCGACTGAAACGCATTCGTTTCTACCGCACCGGCAAAAACGCCTAGTGTGACATAAGCCTCATTATTCTGTGGAGAATAACAAAAATCATTTTGATCACTGTGAAACGAGGTACCAATCGTCAAAATTGCTCACTGAAAAGCTTTTTTTTTATATACGAGGGTGACTAGGTTAGGGCGATCTGAAAAGTTTCCGACCTAACAGAGTTTTTTTTATTTTTCAACATAGTCTCCTTTTAACTCTACTACACACTTCTTCCAGAGATGCTCCCATCTCTGTAACTCGTCCAAATAGTACTCGACGTATTTCTCTGCAGAATAATTGTTTACGAAGGTGATTGCCTCTTCATTTGACAAAAATGTCTGTCCTGAGAGCGCAATTCTCAGATGAGGAAACAAAACAAAGTCGCTTGGGGCTAGATCTGGTGGGTGAGGTGGATGGTCAAACAGTGCTGCTATTTTCATGCTGAGGTCGGAAACTTTTCAGAAAACAGACTTCTAATTGATTATTGAGGACTTTTGATAATAATCCACCCGAAATTGAATATCAACATACCCATCTTTTCAAGATACTTTCCAAATTGTACACAGGAGGAGATGACAATTCAGCTTTGAAAATTAGGGTTGATCTGAGACCCTGTCTAGTTTCAAACTTGATTCATGATATAAACAATGAGAGTGATTCAATAAATTTTGTAATTTCAGTAATTTTCAATGAATAATGAGAGCATCTCAAAAATTATCTCAGAGCCAGAATCTACAAAGTTGTTGAAGTTGAAACACGATCGAATATTTCAGTCTAATTCTAGATAATGAATTTCGTGTGAATATCTCAACCAAACCAATCTTGAACTGATTCTCGACTACCAAATTTACTTAATTATGATCCGTTATAGCAGATAATATTTCATGTCTGTCTAATGAATGTAAATTAAGTCATCGAGATGAGGATAACCAGATATGACTAAAAATGAATAATTTATGAGCACGTTTCAGTTCTTCACCTTGCTTTATAGGAAGTTAGCGGTATTCTGAAACATATGTCACATTACATCTGCAAAGCAATTGAAAATGTTAATAGGAGGGGCGTTGACTTTCGAAATAACTGCATTAAATCTTTATGAAAGAGGAGAGGCAAACTGAAACAGTTTGTTTGAAAACGAAACTGTAGGGTATTTCCTACAACTACTTAATTTAGAAACATTTTATTTATTCATTGATTTTTATTTTGTGTTATATATTTTTTTTAGGGAATTACCTTTTATAACTGCATTATCGAGCAGTCGTCCAAAGTATCCATCTGCATGGGTTTTTACGGTAATTCTTTTATTTTAATTTTTACTTATCATTTTCTCATCGCATATCATTGAAATACTCCCTTCTTTCTAAACGAAAGTTTATTGGCAAAAAGCATATGAATATTTAGAATGACACCACTGTTTCGAGTGGGCACTCATCGTTAAAACTTTTATGGATTGAGACAAAGAATTCGGGCCCAAGTGGTTGATCCTTCTTGACTATATTTATGACCCCGACCATTGTCAGTGAAGATTTTCCGAAAGTTACTTCGGACACATTTCTTAGTCGATGCATTCATTCTGTTCTGGGATCTCGGCCGGAAACTATTTTTTATTCTAGGGTTTCCGCCGAGAAATAAGCCCGATCTAGAGTCACCTCGCTGATCGAGAAAAGACTTAGCGTTAGTTCCTCGACGTTACCCTGTAATTTTCAGTTTTGTGTTATGTTTATCGTTGTGTTTTTTTGTTAATAAATTTAGTTAAAGATTAACGTTGTGTTTGTCTAAATAATAATTCACCTATCACCAGTCCCAATAAAACTTTTGAACAAATAATAATATAATGATGATAATAACGTTTATTGTGCAAAAACGAGTTTTATACACAAAGGGAAAAGGGTTAGCCAGAGGCTATCTTCCACCCGTCCCATAATTAAGAAAAAAAAAGCATACAGTAAGACTATAAGAAACAGTTACAATAGACACAAAAATAATATGAAAAAAAAACTATTATGGAGATAATATAAAAGATTACAATCATTTTTGAACATCTAAGAAATGAATTTTCGAAGTTTTTTTGAATTGATATATAGACAAATGAATATACGGTAATAAATTATTTAGATACTTCGGTCCAAAGTAAGAAAAACATCCCTCAAATTTGGAGGTAACATGATATGGAATGGTAAATGTATCTTTTCTTGAATTGATAAAATGATTATCAGATCGCTTAATAATTAATCTGAACAAGCAATTAGGAGTTTTGCTTCTCAATAGTTTATATAAGAATACAGATATGAGATAACGAATTCTAAACACAATATTCAGCTGATCTAATTTCAATAAATATGGAGTTACCTGATCACGGTAGTTTATGCAGCACACAAATCTCATACAAGCATTTTTTATGCGTTGAAGTTTGTGTTTATTATAGTCTGGCAAGAAGTTGTAATTCACTGAGCAGCAATACTCAATATGGAGATAAATCAATGATTGAACTAATTTCAGTTTTGTTTCTTGAGAAAGTATAAGGATTTCAGTTTTAAAAAGCAAGTTTTGTAAATGTGTTTATCGTGCTCGTTGAACAAGAGAGTGTTATCGATATATACACCTAAATTTTTTGCTGAATTCACCCAGTCAATCGGTTCATTATCAAGAAAAAGATGGAAATTTGTTTCAACTTCATTTCTTTGTAGGTCAGATCCCAAACATAGGGCTACTGTTTTATTTGGGTTTATTCGAAGGCCATGATTTTTGGAAAATAGAAGTGTATTTTCTAAATCTAAGTTCATCCTGGTGATGGCATGGTAAATATTATTAGATTGACTTGACAGATATAATTGAAAATCATCAGCATATAAATGTACGTCGCACTGGGATGACGTAGCAGGAAAGTCAAAAATGAAAAGAGAGAACATTAATGGACCTAGAATGCTACCTTGTGGTACACCAGAAGAAGTTTCCTGAAGAGATGAGCATAATTGATCATTATTCAGTATAACCCGTTGAGCCCTTCCTGTGATATTGTTTCAGTTTTTTCATTTGCTGTTTTTTTCATGTATATTTGATTAGACTATTTCATATATTAGTAGAATTGAAGAACATTTTGATGAATATTATTGGAGTTCTATCCCAACACCAAATCGTTATTTTCAATACTTCGACACCTGTTTCAATCACCAAGTGAATCATCTTCAAGAAGAATAATAAACTAAATCTACATACATTATTGTCTTTATTTATACCATAGATACCTCTGCTAGGTACCTGCGTCTAATTTCAGAATCTTGCCTTTTGATAACTAAAAATATTAACACAACAAGCTAAATAGTATTGGTTCACCATCGTTATTCGTATTATTATTATGTTGACTTATTTCTAAGCTCTCATAGGCATCTAGATGCCTGTTTTGATTAACTTGTGTAACTAATCTCAATAAACTAAAATCTACCGTTTCCAGGTAGAAGGTTGCTTTTATGAATAACACGAGGGAACGACTATGGGTAACCCCTTGTCCTCCCATGGAAATGGAAACTAAAGAAACGTCAAAGTGTATTTCATTGGTTCGAACTTAAGAATCTATAAAATATCAAAAAGATTAGCTAAAAATTAACAATTATATTGAGCAAAAAACTGAAATTATAATGAAATAAAATACCAGCAACAATCAAAAATAAAAAAAAGAACTTTTAACACGGGATGAAAATTAAAAATTAAAAGATTCCAAGTCACTTTACGACGTTTCGATTATTAGAATCGTCTTCGGGTGATACTAACAATTGAAACGTCGTGAAGTAATTTGGCTTGGAATCTATTAATGTTTAATTTTCATTTCTTGTTAATAATTAATTTAGATCTCATATTATTGTTCATTTTTTATATTTTTTTATTGTTGCTTGTGTTTTATTCTAATGTAATTTCAGCTTTTTTGCTTAATATAATTGTTAATTTTTAGCTAATCTCTTCAATTGATTTTTTCAGGGATTTCAAATCAATTTATATCATATTAGAAAATGGAAGTCACAACCAAGGAAATGAACCTCGAAAAATTGTCAAGCACCTTCAAACAAACTTCCAAGTATTTCCCTTTGATATGTCTGAGGAATTTGGATGATGTTGCGATATTCGAATATCGAAGACTTGTGTTTCCTTTTTTAAATAACAGACTTCCATCAATAAAATTCACATATGACTTGGAAAATAGAGGACAACCTCCATTTCGTGAGGTTTTGGTAATGAGGAGTCAATGAGGATAGATAGAATACGATGTATTCAGGAAGGAAACAATCACTTACAGGTATATTCCTGACAGTTCACATCACTGTGGACAGCACAAACGTGCTGGGCTGAATTTTCTAGTGCCTCGTCTTTTTACTTTTTCTCTCACACATAAGAGGTTTACAAAAGAAAATGTAGATGATATTATAAGAAGAAAAGTTTGGGTTAAGAATGAACGAAATCTCGAGTTTTAGAATCGACGAAAATTAAGATAAATATATCTCAGTTCCATGCCATCATTACACGAAGAACTTTGTGAATATTTTCAAGGAACTGGGTGTGAAGGTGGTATTTTAAAGTAAAGCCATATATTACAGAGCCTTTTAGGAAATCCAAAGGACAAAGTCGAGTGTTCGGAAAAGTCTGGAATTTATGAAATTAAATGTGAGGACTGCGATGTGTAAGATTATGTACAGACAAGAAGAACTATCGAAATAAGATATATGGAACACTTAGCACACCTAAAATATGGCAGACCAGAAAAATCAGCAGTCGCCCATCATGTTTTGCAAAAAAACCGTTCCATAGTTGGACAAGTTAACAACAGGCATCTAGATGCCTATGAGAGTTTAGAAATAAGTCAACATAATATTATGACTTCTTCGATTGACGACTTGTTTATTTTGTGGAAATTCATGTTCACTGAGGATACACTACAAAACACACTTTTGTCTATTTTCCACTATATTTCTTTATTGTTTTATTATACCATTTTTTGAAAATGGTATAATAGCCGAAACCGGTCAACAATAAAGAAATATAGTGGAAAATAGACAAAAGTGTGTTTTGTAGTGTATCCTCAGATATTATGAATAATGATGGTGGACCAATACCTAATAGTTAACTATATAGCTTGTTGAAATAATATTTTTAGTCATCAAACTTGTCTGACTAGTACATAAGGCAACATTTTGAAATTAGTTTCAAAACAATTAAGACACAGGTACCTAGCAGAGGTATTTATGGTATGAGGACAACATTATATGTAGATTCAGTTTATTCTTCCTCTTGAAGATGATCACTTGGTGATTGAAACACGTGTCGAGGTGTTGAAAATAACGGTTTGGTGTTGGGATAGAATTCCAGTGATATTCACTAACGTGTTCTTCAATTATGCTTATATATGCAATATTGTAATCAAATATACATGGAAAAAAACGAATCACAGCAAATGAAGAAAATGGAAACAATTTTGAAAACATCTGTTTTCCGTCAACCAGATGTTTCCTTCCTATGATCGACAACCTTCAAGAGTCGAAACTGATTCAAGTTCAGAATTAACGGGGTCTCATCTTTCAATGTGGGATTTCTAATACGAAACAGATCAGACATGAAACCCAGTTGATTGGACATTTATACCTGCGGCATATACAAGTGAAACATATTGGAAAATACCTGATATTTGAGTTTCTGCCATATACCGCTTTCGAAGGAATCAAGTAGGTTTACATTCAGACCATCAATATCCTTGTCATATTTGGGGTCGAAACAGGCGAATAGTTTTTCCAACGAATCCAGTTGTATGATAATATATTTGACAAAAAATTCAATATCAATTATAGAAAAAAAAACTTTTTTTGATGTGGTTGAAAAACTTTTTGTTGCAATTCAGAGGTTTGGACTTCTACTGTAAGTGTAGAGAAATGTATGGAAAAGAAATTGATAGGATCCAAATATTCCAATAATTAGTAAGGCAGTGAAGAGAAAGTATTATCAAGAAATTAAATATGACCAGAAATAAAGGAAAGTGAGTTGATTAATTTCAAAGATGACTATTCTCCAAACAAATTCAGTGGATGTTTTGAGAAAATTCAAATACAAAACCAGCTACAGCAGTACTTTCTAGCGAAGAGATCTTCGAAAGATCCTTCAAAGAATGTTTAGCTTGAAAATTATTCAATGATTAAAGTTCATATTAGAACTCGTGTCCGGTTCAGTAATGACAATTTCCATCTATACGAAAGATTTTCTCTTCAGAGTCGACAGATATTTATTAGCAGAAATAGTTGTGTAATTCTCAGTTCTCGTTATGAATCTAGGTAAATCATATACCAAACCAACTAATTATTATTGATTGAAATATTTCGCTAAATATGTTTTCAATTAATGTCGCTCAAGTACTGTAATTACATTCTTCAACTTGTGGAAGCTTTTACATCTCAATAGAAAGTTGAAAAAATAACATTTCAATAACACGCTTGAATAGTATGCTGTTGGAGTATGGGTGAACATTTTATACCGGTTGGGTAGAAGTTGTTCGGTCAATGTTACAGAAAATTACTTGAAGTGGAATTATTTAATGATTTTGATTGTACTTTTTATTGTCAAAAGGATAAATTATGAGTCATAAAATGGATTGAAACCACCTATCGTGATTCCGAAAGATTTAGGAGACTTCTGCGAGCATAGGATAAATGGAGTTGAACCTTTCAACATACGATTTCCAGCACGGGTCAGGCAATACATAGAAGCCACCCATCGTCCCAGAGTATGAATTGGTCCCGCATTTACAATAACGGTTTTTTCTATGACATCGTGACGGATAATGACTTGTGGATTTATGCGTATGAGTCTGAAAATAAACAACAGTCGACTGTATGGGTGTTTCAAGATGAACCAAATCCAACAAAAGTTTCTCGCACACGAAGCACTTCCAAGCAAATGGTCGCCTGTTTTTTTCGGAAAAACTTGACATGTCACAACCGTACCACTAGAACAACGCAGAACAGTCAATTCTGAGTGCTACACAACCATTTGTTTGCCAGTTGTCTTCCAAAAAATCAGGAAAATCAACCGCCGAACACGGATCACTCTTCACCACGACAATGCGAGCTCTCGCATATCGACTCAAACGACTGCATTCTTGAGCACCCAAAACATTAATTTGATGAGTCATCCGCTGTATAGTCCTGACTTGGTACCGAATGACTTCTTTCTATTCCCGCCCGTAAAAAACAAACTGAGAGGTCAACGTTTTTCGACACCTGAAGAAGCGATTGCTGCATTCAGAATGCATGTTTGGAGATACCTCAATCAGAGTGGCAAAACAATAAAGCGATTTTCGATTATTATTTGTTTTTGTTCTCTAATCCCGAAATATGAAAGGCAACACTCTTATAAATAAATGAATAAGTACTTACGCTCCTAAAACTGTATACAACTCCAACGTAAAATGATAATAACATATTCTGGGCGGCTCTCCTTCCCTACACGCTCTTGCGCATTCATCAGGAGAAGATAAAGAAGGATTTTTTCTCAACTCGGCGGTGGAAGAAGTTCTGTAGTCTAAATGCTTGAAACCTGTGTTACCTCCAAGGCTATTTTTCTTAGCTAATGGGCCCCTTCTCAACTCGGGATGTATTTGAAATATTCCTTGTGACGATGTGAAGTGATCATCTGGAGTGGAAATATCGGACTGCCAGAAGCTAGCTGATGTTTGCTGATCAGCAACTGAAATTAAATATTGGGAATCAGTTTCATGGCAGAAATAATTAAAACAGACGTAAATTACTCAAAAAATATTGGTTATGAAACGATTTCCAACCTAAAAATGATATAGAAATTAACGAAACAGTAAATAGAGGAACTTTTCTACTATCAACCTAAAAATGATATAGAAATTAACGAAACAGTAAATAGAGGAACTTTTCTACTATCAACCTAAAAATGATATAGAAATTAACGAAACAGTAGATAGAGGAACTTTTCTACTATTTCAACAGTGTATGTGGCCTCTCTCTATGTTTCCTCCATGAAAATTAAGGTCATATCATTGGCATAGCAGAATAATTGTCCCTCAAGTCCATCAGTTTTTGTGATATTATTCGTGAATATAAAGAACACTTTCCCTTGCGAAGCATTTATTCTGACTATAGATAAGGTACTTATTTCTTATACGCTTTATATTAGCTTCACCTGTATGTATGTTTGTTTGTAACTCTCAAGTTCTGGACCTGTATTTGACAGAAATGTCGACATTATTGTTTGATCTATTCGCGGGCAGATGGCGCTGTACGTAACTCCCTTGATATAATTCGAACTCACTTTACATGTATTTCTTTATTTGAAAAAAGTTTTTTTTCATTAACACGCGCGCCTGCTGCCTTATTTGTAACTATCCTTTGCGCGCCTGCTGCCTTGGTAGCTAATTTTCAGGCTCCCTCTCCGGAATCGGAAAATATCAATGATCATTTTTATAAACAATATACGGCTGATTGATCCCAAAGTTTAGATTAAATAGGTATAGTTTAAAAAAATGAAAAATATAGTTTAAAAAACTAAAAAACACGCTTTTAAAGAACATCGAACTGAAAAGTTGAAAATATTTCTCATATAAGCTCAAAACAAAAACAAACGAAAAATGCTGGTATTATTGTGAAAAAAGCGTGGGCGCTTTGTGCCATATAAAACCCAATAACATATAAATCAAACCTCGCAATACACGCCATACAAATCAAACATAACTTTCCCCCCAGAAAACATCAAACTCATAAAACAAGTCAATAAAAGAAACCCTATACACATCTGGGTAAACCTAAACATTCATAAATTCAAAAGTCATAATGCATTTACCGAAGAACACATACAAATCAAAACACAACAAGATGGACGTTGCCATGTTTCTTTGGTTATAGTTATTGGGGAGGCCTCTTACATTTTTTAGAGTAATAATGTCGTAGTAAAAAATGTTTGTATACATATAATTTTTTCAATATTGTTTTATTGATTTAGTTTTTCAGATGCCGAACGTTTACAAACGTGTTTCTGTTCTTCTTCGTGGCAATTGAACAGAGGAGAAGTTATAATCTGTGATGAATGTTGTTCAGAACGATAATATTTTTGTTCGGAAGGCAATAATTACATAAGGTATTCCTCGAAAAACATTGGTAAGGACTAAAACTAAAATTGATAGAAAGGGAAATATGGGACCTTTTTCTGTTCTTGGAAATGACGATTATTGATTATGTGTATGTGTATCAATAGCAAGAACTCAGGGTGTGAATGAAACTGAGGTCAATAATAACTGTTGAATTAAATAATTCAAAAAAATGAACTCTTTGATGAATCAGGTCATATATTCAAACATAGATGAGACTGGTCTGCAACTTAATAATCGGCCAAATCACGTACTTGCTGAGAAGGTTTCAAAAGCAGTATCAACAGTCACCTTTAAAGAAAAAAGGAACAATCACTGTTATTACTTGTTGTAATACAGAAGGAGTTTTCATACCGCTGGCATGCTTTGTGAAAGGAAAATAAGAAATTGAAGTTCCAAGATGATATGTCACCTGGATCCTGTCTGTTTATGTTGCCAAAGTCAGTATATAATAACTCATACATTTGATTGGTTAAAAAATGACTTTCATTTGGAAAAAACTATATGAAAAGTTTTATTGCTCCTAGACGCATTATAATTTTGTAGAGATGCTAGAGTTTGCCATCAACCATGATATTGTACTCGTTTTTATGCTGAGCTACACTTCATACTCGATAGAGTAGTTTTTGAATCTCTGAAATCCTCTATGAATCATGCCGAATGTGGCTCAAGCGAAATTCTGGACGTCATTTTACAGGACTTTATGCCTCAGGGAACAATTTTGGGACCTTTTCATTTAGTATTTGCAAATGATCTATTAGTGTATCTAAATGGAAATTTTGCCACTCACTGTATATGTTATCCTGATGACACGAAGATGGTGAACCTGGTTTTTGAAGATTATCTAAACACTGTTATGAATATAGCTGAAAGCACTTTCAGTAGAGTTATCACTTGGTGTGAAAAAAACAACTTGATGATTTATAAAACAAAAACTAGTATGTTACAATTCATGGTACGACGACAACATCATGAGGTGAGTCTATACCAGAATACCGAATTACAATTGGATCCCACAACAAAAACTAAAATGTTAGGAGTTAACTTCGATAACAACTTTAAATGGAAGTCAGAAGTGGATAATTTGTGTACAAAGCTCAGAAATTCCTGTTATTCTCTCAGGTATCTCTCCACTCATTGTAGTCAAGAGATTCTACTCACGCTTTATTATGTGAATTTTAATTCTCACCTCAGGTATGGCATACTAAACTGGGGCACAAGCTCCTCTGTGGATAGAGTGTCCATGATACAGAAGTATGCAGTAAGATCATTGCTAAGTTGGGATTTAGGGAGTCCTGTAGGGGGATCATTTCAGAAGTTAAGAATATTAACAGTTGCAGGAATATACATACTTGAGGCATGCACATATTATGTATACCGCAATAAAACAAACTGGCTGCCAACAGACCCTCACATACTTCTACCCAGTCAACATCGAACTGATCTCTATCAAAAAAATTTTGAATATCAAGGATGCAAACTGTATAACAAACTTCCCGACGACATTAAAGTTTCAAGAAATGTACATATTTTCAAGAGGAAAGTTAATCAACTCTTATTGTCAAAAAAACAGCTACACTGTTGAGGAGTTTCAGCCGTAACTTTATTTCCATGTGAAGTGTACTGTTTATTTAATATACACCTTTTTTATTTATACACACGTAGAATTAGTAACTTTAATAGATTTTATATTTATACTTTATATTATCTGTAATAATTGTTCGTGACGTGGATGTCCTATACACATCCAGAGATATTTTATAATTCTAGTCATTTCATATGTATATACATTTTCTTATATCATTTCTCTACTTGAATTTATTGACGTTTTTTTTCATTTGCATTATCACACTGTTGATGTGCAAACTAATTTGTGAAAATAAAGAAATTATTATTATTATTATCATTTCTTTTTCACCGTAGTGTGCTGGTCAGGCCCTATTCCCTGAAGCCCTGATACATTCGAGAGGGCGCGCCAGCATTATCAACCAATGACCATTTCCCACACCGTGGGGTAAGTGATTATTGAGTACGAGAATCATGTGTCCTGAGCAAGAGCAGTGAGCCAAGAATGACAGCCTTCTGCATCTGTGCGGCTAAGATTTCTGCCTTAGTGCGGCAAGCCGGTATGATTTCAAGATTCGAGAGTAGAAAGGGCATCATTCCGGGTTCCAACCGGGTTCCAACTCGGAGACAGAGTTGTGGTCATCTCGTTCAATGTCGAAAACTAAACCGAGTTCATCAGCTGCTCGGGCAGCTGCCCTGAAGAGAAATGCTGCAATTCCTGCTCTCTTATGGTCACGGACCATGCAGAGAAGGGTATCCGAACTCCTGACAACAAAATGTTTAGAATAAGGGTAAACAAATTTTTGGCTGTTAGACCCTATTATAATTTGCAAGAGTTCTTTAATGATAAATTTACGTGACGAAATGTGCATATTTGAATTTAGGGTATATGAGATTTTTGTTTATATTCTTGTTTGTATATAAATGTTTGTTTGTCTTCTGCAATGGATGTGTTATATTATATATAATATTTGTGTGTTGATAATATTTTTAAACAAGTCTGTACACAACCATGTTGAGACAAAATTTCGATGTTGAACTATAGTGTATGTTCTGACTTTACTTTTCTGTAGATATATTTATATTCACATTTTATATTTGTATATCTACTTACATATGTGTGTATTTTTCACAAGCTTTGTCCATAAGTTTTATTCTTAATGACAATGAAGTATATCGTTATTATTATTATTATTGAGTTAATGGCGTTTCAAATCAATTTTGAATGGATTATATTGGTTTGAGAATACACAAGTAAATTGGATTTCTCAGATGCGATGAAAATAACAGGTTCTGATTTGGAATTACGGTCTGATTTCCGTTATGAAAAATATAGTCATACAATTTATGTTACATTAAAATCAAATTGTACTGGTTTATTTTCCAATAAGTAAAAATACCGAGATAAGACTTTACTAAGAAAAGTTTGAATCGAATTTACCGTCACACAAAGACAGTTTCAAAAATATAAAAGTTGATTCATTTTGCAGGTTCACCCATTATTAATTTTTTCCATAAGTCATCTTTCAATTAACCTATATCGAAATAGATGAATAAATCACTGAAGCTTTCACAGATAGTGATGTCATTCTTTTTTGTTTTAATTTCGAGACGATATCTAGATTCATTAAGATTACTCAGTAATAATTCATGAACTTTCTCATCTATGAATATTGTAATCGATTTTATTTTCATCATGATAAAAACAAGCTAATAATAATCCTTCAAAACATGGCACAAAAATTCTTCCACTTATACTTCAGGATGTGCCCGAAGACTGAGGTTAGGAGTAATTGTATTGAGTGAATCGGGTGCGTGTTTTTAAATATTCAAATATTTAACGAAACATGATTCTTGAAAAATTTTAAAAAAACAAAAACAATTGATATTTATTTATATACACTTGACTTTACCTGAAATATTAACTTCTGACTAGACATCAATTGGATTGTTGTTTTCAAAATTGATCATAACATGATAATCACTCTATTGAACAACTAATATACAT